CGGCAGCCATCTCCTCCGGCGCCATCTTCACCAGAGAAGCGTAGCTTGGCGGGTCACGTTTCAAGGAATGACGCATGACTCGACCTTCGCCTCTCCCGAGCCCGTTGGGGAGTTGCAGCGATGAGACCAGATCGTAATTAGATCGCAATTGGATGTCACGAAATTGTGCAGAAAAGGGGGTAAAATTACAACAACAAAAAAACAACATTATTGTGATTTTTCAGGGTGTGCTGCAGCACCCCCAGCACCCCTACATCTGAACACACACAGTAATCTTCATGTGATGTCACAATGCTCAAAGCATGATGCTGTTATATCCTCCCTCCCCCTTTCATTTTGTTCCTGCCCACTAGTCTAGTTAATCCTGTCGCTGTATTTTATCCCCAGCTGGATGGATGGGCAGTGGTATTAGCATGGTGGGAGTGGAGGAAGGTGGTTGATGGATGGAGAAAGTTGTAGGATGGAGGGTGGTGGGTAGCCATTGTGATCCTCTGGTGGTCTCAGTGTGATGGATCAGCACAGTCCTCTTTGACATGGAACCAGACCTATAAATGGTGCTGCATGGCTATTACACAGGGTAGAGCGAGGGTGGGGGAGTGGGTGAATATACGTGTGTGTGTGTGTGCACTTTGTGTGTGCATTTGTTCGTGTCCAATATGGAAAAATGTTGTGCTATGTTGCTCACTGATAGAGTTCAGTAAAAGTGTCGATTCAGTAGAAACCTATTGAGATACATTGTCATATTCCCTCGATAGCGAGGCCAAGGGCTCTTCATCGATTGATGAGATGGAGAGTGCTTTGGAAGCCAGCCAAAACCAGACAGAGAGGTTGGAAGCCGACACCGACATATTTATCTACCTCACTAGCCCTAATGTGTCAAGCCTCAGGCAATGGAATAACCACTGCTATTGTTTCTACACTGGCTTTCATAGGCATTCTGGATGGGTTGAGGGAGGAAGGGCTCTCAATGCCTTTCACTGTCTTTTTGTTATGGGGATTGTGCTGTACTGGCTATGTGTCTGTGTGTCCGTCTGTGTGTGTCCGTCTGTGTGTGGTTGGTTAGTTAAAGATTAAGTATGTGTACTGTGCAGCTAACAATGTAATCGCTTCCCAAATAATCTCCTACCATCTTGTGTGTACTTTAATAGTTTTGCATTACATGCTGTTGTTGTGGATTTGAACACCTGAATCCGGTCCAAGCCTTGTTGGAAGGTTCCTATCCTTCCCTTCTCCTAAATCTCCTTCTCACTTAGTCAGCTTGATGACCTCACCACTTCCTGATAAGCGTCTTTATGCTGTGATGTCATTAAAGAAAGACCCTTCTAGAATGTTCTCCTTAGTTTTATAGGAAGGATCAACACGTCCCCTTGGTTCTACCCTCACCTCCTCTTCTTCCCCACTCGTTTCATAACCCCAGTTACTGACCACATACACTATAGAATGGTTCAGGGCAGTGTGCTACATAGAGCGAGTAGGATGAGGTTACATATTACAGTTCTTTAATTGACAAATGGAAAATAAATTAATTCCAATAAATCATCACCTTGTGAATGTCTGCAAAGTCAATATTTGATTGAACACAATCGGGGTGTGTGTGTGGAACCCATCGTGTGTCTCATTCTTCTATCTGGGGAACCTATTTGGAAACTGGTCTCATTTCATATCTCTGGGGTAGTTTGATCTGTCTCTGTCTCTCCAGGTCTTCACCCTTCTATCCGTCCGTCGCTCAAACTAGATCTTTTTGTTCCTTTTTTTACAATGCATTGCATATTCAGAAGAGGCAGCATGTAGGTATCTTAAAACGACACGCATTATATCTCCCTGGCTGCATGAATCACCCTTTACGCTCTTTTTACTTTCTTTTGTTTTAGACTTTTCTCTCGGTTCTGCTTTTCGTTAGTATAAAGATTGACTAAATCATGTGTGGAATTAATTATTTGTTTAAATCTCATATGGAGTATTTGTATGTTCTCAATACTAGTAATATGAAGCTAATATTAGCATCGATACTTTGATTTATTTTTACAGACAGAGTTGTCTTTCTTTAGATATCTTGATTAACTCATGATTTTCTTACGTTCTCTGTTTCTGTTGTGTTCTTGTTCTATCCTTTTACGTTTTCAGTTCCGTTTGCTCGTGACTTGACTGATGTTCCATCCTGTTCATTGTTCATCCTCCACCTCTCCCTCCCTCCACCGGTCTTCTATGTGTTTTCTGTGGCTGCATGGTCTTGTGTTTGCACGTTGATGTAGCTTTCAGTGACACTTGGAAGATGTAATATAATTCTCTCTCCTTCTCTCTCTCTCTTTTCCTCCCCATTTTTCTTTCTGGTCTGTTCTCTCTTTAGGGGACGTACTCTTTCAGATGGCTGAGGTCCACAGACAGATCCAGATGCAGCTTGAAGATATGGTGAGAAGAACTGGATGATGAGGATAATGAATTTGTATTAGGATATTGAATTAGAATTTTATATTTTAGAATTTGTACAAATGTAATCATTGAATTCATAAAATGAACTTGTTTCGTTATTATTGTATTTAAAATTCCATTTCAGTTTGATTGAATATTCAAATTCAATATTTAAATATATTCCGTTTCAATATAGTAGATATTGCGTTCATTGTCCGTGTATCAAGTTTACAAACTGTCATTTGAAGTTGATCAAAGTTTCACATATTCAACTTCTCAGATGCGTTTTCAAATTCAGTTCTCTAAATTCAGATTCAAAACCAGAGACAACATCCTGGTACTTTGCCAGCCAGGAGAGGTAGAGGAGAACAGATAGAATCAAACGCTCTCTCTTGTAAACCCAAGCTACTGGTGGTTTCTGTAGCCAAAGTGATATGTTTAATTTATTTTCTTCCTATGAATTTGGCTCTAGCGTTTGAACTGTTATGCCTATAAGCTTTTATAACTGCTTTTCTGAAAGCTAAGACTCTCTGGAATGTGGACATGCCACTTTTGATCCCCTCTATGATGATCACAGGCCGCGCATGACACATTAGAAGGGAGTGTCACAAAAAAACGAAATTTGCCCCCCATAAGAATATAGTCGAATAGCCCCACATCAATAAAACTGAATGCAATATTCATTCAATTCAGTTTCAAACTATGAAATACAAATTCATTTTATGAATTCAATGACTCAATTTGTGCATTACAAATTCAAAAATATTAAATTCAAATTCAATATCCTAATAAATTCAAATATAATTTCTGTTGGCACTGAAATCGCTCCATAGATGAAGACGACGATGATGATGAAGCCGCTTCATTTCTTACAAATGCTCCAGCTTAAGTCTCACCCAATCGTTACCACGATGGGAGCCTGTGAAAGTGTAGAGCCTGTAGAGCCTGTGAAAGGCTTGTATTCAGTCCCATTTGATCTACAGTCAGTGCGGACCACCCACAACCTCCTCTGAAGAGCCTCTCACCCACAACCTCCTCTGAAGAGCCTCTCACCCACAACCTCCTCTGAAGAGCCTCTCACCCACAACCTCCTCTGAAGAGCCTCTCACCCACAACCTCCTCTGAAGAGCCTCTCACCCACAACCTCCTCTGAAGGGCCTCTCACCCACAACCTCCTCTGAAGAGCCTCTCACCCACAACCTCCTCTGAAGAGCCTCTCACCCACAACCTCCTCTGAAGAGCCTCTCACCCACAACCTCCTCTGAAGAGCCTCTCACCCACAACCTCCTCTGAAGAGCCTCTCACCCACAACCTCCTCTGAAGAGCCTCTCACCCACAACCTCCTCTGAAGAGCCTCTCACCCACAACCTCCTCTGAAGCCCCTCTCACCCACAACCTCCTCTGAGCGTTCAGTCCAGAGGAACAAAAGGTGTAATGGGTCCACACTCAAAAAGATGTCGCATAAAGCTTACTTCATTTTTTCATTGTTCAGTCCAGAGGAACAGGAAAGGGCGTCCAGAGCTAACATAGAACAGAGCGCTACTGTACACACAAACAACTAACTACTGGCCTCTTAACTATTGTTTGCATATGCTCTCACATCTCGCCTGTTCCTGCTCTTTCAGCACACAGCCAACTGATAGAAGTTAAGAAAATATTATTACATGGTTCTACTAACAATAAGGGAAGAAAATAAACCTAACGGCTTTGATACATTTTAGTCATTTAGCAGACGCTCTTATCCAGAGCGACTTACAGTTAGTGAGTGCATACATTTTTTTTTCTTCATACTGGCCCCCCGTGGGAATCGAACCCACAACCCTGGCGTTGCAAACACCATGCTCTACCAACTGAGCTACATCCCTGCCGGCCATTCCCTCCCCTACCCTGGACGACGCTGGGCCAATTGTGCGCCGCCCCATGGGTCGCCCGGTCGCGGCCGGCTACGACAGAGCCTGGATTTGAACCAGGATCTCTAGTGGCACAGCTAGCACTGCGATGCAGTGCCATAGACCACTGCGCCACTCGGGAGATACTGCTTGAGTCCCAAATGGCACCCTATTCCCTATGAAGTGTACTACTTTTGACCAGGGCCCATATGCTCTGGTCAAAAGTAGTGCACTCCACTAGGGGCTTTTTCCAGTTTTTATTAATCAGAGCCAGTGTGTGAGGACTCCCTCACTGATCTGAAGCTTCCGCCTTATTGTGTGTTCATTTGGGATGTTTCACCATTGATTTAGTTGTTTGTTTTGTGACATTTCAGTACTGCCTGGTGTGGGACTGGAGATAACGGCCCTTTTGTCTCGATCCACGCAAAAGTCAATTGTAAACATACACTAGCTCACACAAACAAACAAACAAACACACACACACACACACACACACACACACAATCTCAACACTGGCACATAATTCACATAGTGGTATTATACAACTTTCCATAATCCTTTGGGTCATGTCCGATGTCAAGACAAACTTGGCTCCTCAAGTCATGTTGACACCACAACACTGACAGCCAGCCAAAATATATATATCTGGTTTGGCAGTTGAGAAAGTACAACCTGAGGCAGGTTCTATTCCTGTCTGTTATGATGTGTGGATGTATCTTCTGTTATCATTCACTCTTTGTGTTCCTCTCTGTCCTCCAGCTGAAGTCGTTCCACAATGAGCTTCTGACCGAGCTGGAGAAGAAGGTGGAGCTGGATGCACGATACCTGAACGTGAGTGTCCTTCTAGACCAGTGGTTCCCAACTCCAGTACTCCCAACAGCACACATTTTTGTTGTTGCCCCGGACAAACACGCATACCTAATTTAGGGCTTGATGAGTAGTTGAAGTTGAGTCAGGTGTGCTTGTCCAGGGGCGACATTTAAAGCTGCACTATGTAACTTTGTGGGCAACCCGACCAAATTCCCATAGAAATGTGACTTATAGATCTGTCATTCTCATTGAAAGCAAGTCTAAAATGCGGTAGATCTGTTCTATGTGTGCTATTTCTAATCTTCCCGCGCTTAAGTTTCATTTTTTGTGTCTTTTTACTGTTGGTTTTGTACACCAGCTTCAAACAGCTGAAAACAACAATATTTTTGGTTAATTAAAATATATTTCACAGCGGTTTAGATGGTACAATGATTCTCTGCACTTGTTTTGTCACATAAACTGAAATTAGGCAAACTATTAGAATTTTAGCAACCAGGAAATGGCGGCGCGATATCTGCATATTGCACCTTTTTAAAATGTGTACAGTCGGGGGGTACTGGAGGACTGGAGTTGGAAATATTGTCCTAGAGAACCATCATTCATTGTTGTCTCCTTTTCATTCACTTCAGTCACTCTCCCAGTTGTTTAGCACCTTCTAAATACACCTTTAGATGTGTTCTCACCTTCACTATATGGCAAAAATAGCATGTGTTACTGTTCACTTTAGACTATAAGACGGAGGTGTTTAGCGAGCTTCTAACTATTGGTTGACACCCCTTACAAATACTGCTTTTTATTACCTATATTTTTTTTTGTATATTAGCTGTTTTATTATGACATTACAGCAGAGTTCATTTCATTTTAGTTCAGTTTTATATAATGCCTTTATATAATTCTGTGTCAGTGGTTGTGTATTCCACATTTTCGAATGTGTTGATGCAGACTGGTGCTTTAACTGTATTCCATGTTGGCTGGCTAGTCTTCCCTATGGAGCAGCAGAAACCAGGATAGGATTCACATTATCATAAAATCATCAGCTAGAGACAAACTCCACGGCTTTCTTAGCACTTATTTTAATTTCCCACAGGTTTTCATCATAACCACTCAGCAATAAAGTTACAAATTACTTTCCTGTCTTACTTTCCGAATCATGAATTATGACACATTTTTTTTATGAAAATAAGAAGTTGAAGTTTTATTTAAGGGATAAATACATTTCTAGAGATTATTGAAGAGAATGTAGGATTTGTTTTTTTCAAAGCTTTCCCAGACAATTTCTGTCGTGGAATTGGGAAGCTTAAATAAAGGCCTACTAAACTTGAATGAATGTCAGCCCAATGAAGCATCCCTTCAAATTAAAGTGTCATTTTTAGATGCTCACAAAAGAAAAGTCACTAATAAAATAATACTGTGTCCTCTGTTTGAAATTCATATTGACCTCGTCAGTTCATTTGAGGCCGTACTTTGGCAGGCCAGCAGCGGATCAGAAAAGCATATGTTCTCTCTCTCTCTCCTCTCTCTCTCTCTCTCCTCTCTCTGCTCTCTCTCTATCTCTCTCTCTCTCTCTCTCTCTCTCTCTCTCTCTCTGTCTCTGTCTCTGTCTCTCTGTCTCTCTCTCTCTCTCGCTCAGTCTCTCTCTCTCTCTCTCTGCTCTGTTATTTCAGCGTTGACAAAAGTAATTAGCCACGCTCAGCTAGGTTTTCCCATCAGACAGAAATAAAATATTGGAAACATTGTTTTGTGGCGGGCAGACAGGCCAGGCCACAGGATTGCATCAAAAACTCTTGGCAGAGGTGAATGAGTGAAACACAAAGGCATTGGTTTGGAACACAATGAGTCCTACAGCCACTGGTGCCACATCAATCAGCAAATAGGAGGTGGTCAGGTGGTTTGAATTGGGACTAAACACATAATGAAAGTGGTAGAACACTAGTCTAAGGGAGCCAATGACTGTATAGCTATGTTAAAACTGACTCTATACTCCCACCTACAGGCGGCTCTGAAGAAGTACCAGATGGAGCACAAGAGTAAAGGAGAGAGTCTGGAGAAGTGTCAGGCAGAACTGAAGAAGCTCCGCAGGAAGAGCCAGGGCAGCAAGAACCCCTCCAAGTACGGAGACAAGGAGATGCAGGTGAGTGACCGGAGAGAGGAGGGGTGA